TTTGTTTATCTAATGAATTTCCAACTGATCAATTTCTCAATGTATAGCTAATTTATATCAAAATTCCACTCCTATCCTTAATTTCACTACGATACTCCGTTGGGGATATGTGAAAAAAGCCACTCATTTTGGCGTTCAAACAATGAACAGATTCAATATCAGTGTGAATCTGAACGGGTCACTGGGAAGATTTCAAAAAAAAAAGTGAATATAAGCAAAAATTGCAAACGATGAACAGTTAATTTATAGAGCACTATTCGACGTGCACTTCAGTCCTCCGTATGAGTTTATTCTGCTAATGAACGCACTAGCGATGATGTGCAGTGCGTGTAATCCCCTTCTCTACACACTCTTCTCGAAGAAGTTTCGTGCTCGAATCACTCGTTTGCTGCGATGTGATCGAGCTGAAATGATGCCGAAACGCTGTGATATCACAAATTCGATCGTCAAAGTAATGCCAAACTCTTTCAACGAACTAAGCGGTCGATCTCGTCTTGAATGGCGATGTGCTGACGACTTCACACCGACACATTACTATTTGGAAGTTCCACAATAAAGAGTCTTGACCCGTGTAATCAATCACTCAATGAATAGCGTATCGTATCGATTGATCAAGTGTTTTGCGCAAAGACGCAAGATCGTCAGATGTATCGTACGTATCGTATCGTAATAACGTATAATATCGTCAGATAATATCGTAATAACGTATAATAATACGCAATGAATAACGTATCGTCAGACGCAAACCTCTTGAATTTTTCACTGAACAATTTTCGACTGTTGCATTTACGGAAACAATCGCGAAAACATTTTGTATTTCTGTGGTTCACTTCGAAACAAAAATTACGTGGATCTCTAAAACAACGATATTTAATTGTCTCACGAGGAGTTCGAGGAGAGAATTTTTTGAGGAGAGGAGAAGGAGTGAACAGTGTGGCGAAAAAGATGAGTCCTGTGACCGGCAAGGACGTATGCACGGCTGACGGCAGCAAAAGATAATCCTGTAGAGATTTTTTAAAAATTCAACTAAAGTGAAAATCGGTACATGAATAAGTGAAGAATGCACGAATAATAAAACTTCCCTACTAGGCTAACTTGAGAAGGCTGGCTAGTGTTGAAGATGGTATCATAGAGGATGATCAGAAAACGGTGGTCGAGCAAATGATCGCAAAATGAGACGACAATCAGTGCCTTATCATAAGTTCACCTCCTTCCCCTCTCCAACCCCTTAAAATGAATTCTTCACCGAATTCTTCAACAAGAATTACTGCAGTGATAATATGAACTGATATGGTAAATATTCAGTTAATCTTATTGAGATGTGTTACCTCCATTGAATACTTTTGATGCGTTCCTTACACAATGTACTGTAAATACTTTCATTGTTAAGTTGTTTAAGCCAAAAATGGAATTGTTTAATGTGTTCAGAATAATAATTCAATTTTCGAGAAGTCAACTCTGCAAATAATACACACATTCAAAAAGAATGTGTGTATTATTTGCAGCTTCCGAAATGACTTGTGTATAAATATTATAATCGTGCGCAAGTTCGTAGCAATCTGCACTTTGCATTGGATCCGCCTATAACTGATTGTAAAAGTGAGTCCAAGTCTGATAAAACGATGAAGTCGCGATATGAATTAATATGAAGCAAATGTAAACCTCAA